TTAGTTTCTTCGATTCAAATTTTTCTCTGCTCTTATAAAAAAAGATGAAAATTGACAAGACTTGTTTCTTCGTTAGAAAATCTTCGTAAGAAAAATTATAGATCGTTAATATATAACACAAAACGAGAATGAATAAGATCATATAGGAATATATGAAAAAATCTATACTGAGTATGATATAGATGGAAAAGTGAGAATGTTATGAAAAATGATCGAAATGTGCGTGTGAGGTTAGAAAGAAGATATTAGAATATAATATTATTGTATGATAATAAAATTAATTTTATGTGCAATAAATAAATAAATAAATATAGATTAAAATAAATATATAATTATTTATTTTTGAATTTTTTTTACTATTGTAAAAAAAAAACGAAAATTGACATTTTGTTTCTTCATGTATGTTATAAAATCTTTAAGTGGATCACTTAAAATAGTAAAAACGACGAATACTTGGGTAACAATCGTTAATCTTTCTTCATAGAAAATGAGATTTCTCATGGTGGTTCTAATTTTGCTGCGGTTCACACTATTAATAAGTGTACACGTATTTCGAGGATATAGCACCACGAACCTTTTGGCTCGCGAGTGTTATCGAAATTCCAACCTGAACGCTGCTAAATATACCTGGTCGCGGTTACGTCTACCGCGGTTGTTCTGTGGTTACCACAATATACGACAGTTCCCTTTCTTATATAATCGAATTTACCGTTTGTGGAAATTTTCAAATGTATTGTTTGTGATCATTATTGTATCAAATTATGATATTCACATGAGAAAAGACCAATTGAATCTCGTAAAAAACGGAAAAGAATTGCTAATATTGGCCTATAGAATAGAATAGAAGATTATTCAAAGAATTGAAAAGTTATTAAAAAAAAAAGATGCTGTGTGATGTCATATAATTTTGTTATGAAATCGAATTTATACTAAAAAATTTTAATCCTTTAAATATCCTTAATAAATATATTTTTTTTATTTTCAATAAAGTTGAAAATTATTAACATAATGTATGTGATTTCAAAGTAATTATTAAAGGTTAACTGATTTTACGATTTGAACAATTTCAATCAATTTCAAAATTTCTAAAAATTGTACAAAATCACTGATTTTATTGATTTCACGCTAATTTTATTTTTGAAGATGTTTTGAAATGATTTCGCGAAAGTCTCTCGAAAGAAATGTTTTGGTTCCTTCAAACTTACGAAGAAATGATAATTAGAAGACGAGCAGACACATCAAGCAGAGAAAAAGTTGAAATCTGTATCCATTAAAAATCGTACAGAATAAAGGAGTGTATGCACCAGTAAGATTCATGCCAGACGATGTTTGTTGGCCGTGATCACGCGATCTCGTAAAACTCGATGCGGTTCTATTCTCGTACTTGTCACGCTATTTTGCATAGTCAGGCAGACGTTCACCCTAATGCAGTGACTCCGGCCACCCCGTGGAGTTTGAATAGTAAATTTCGGTTATGATAAAACTTTTGGCCACGACGATATCAACCGTAATAACGTTACTTTTAAGCGCGGCAATATATTTCCAGCCAAAACTCGAAACATTGTATTATCCAGCCTCGCCAAACTGTGCAACCATGGTCTATCCGAAACACCAGTCTCGAACAACGATTGTATGCATACAATGGTTGTTCGTTTAAATAACAATCACGAGCGCTGTATGAATAGAGTCATGATAAAAAAAAAAAAAAAAAGAAAAAAAAAGGAAACAAAAATGGATTTTATTTCGCTCGGTGAATCTCGCTCTGACGTTATCTCGAAAAACGAAATGAATTTAATCTGGGATAAAGGGATAAAAGATCAGCCGTGTCGTTGAACGTTAAAAGAAAAACTGGAGAATGAAAAGTAAAACGAAATCACCGATACTCTGCTCTGTCTGACTCTTAGATGAAGGGAGAAAAAGAGAGAAAAAAAGAGAACGGGGTTAAAACTTGTTAATGGCCAGGCTTATCGATAGAGCGTCAACTACCCTTGGTAACTGCAGTTTCACCAACGTATATGCACGCGAATGCATACCTCTCGACACACGACCATATTGTTGCGTCTACAAAGAATTTCCACACGCATGCATATACACATCGGTGGACCTCAAAGCAAGGGTGTGCGTATTTACTGCGGGGAAACATCAAGACCGCTGACATACGGTGAAATATAGGGTTGAAACGGGTGTGGCAATTAAAGCACGCTCTCTCTCTCTCTCTCTCTCTCTCTCTCTCTCTCTCTCTCTCTCGCTCGCTCGCTCGCTCGCTCGCTCGCTCCCTCCCTCCCTTCCTCCCACCAACGATCGCTCTGTTTATTCTATCTCTCTCTCTCTTTTTTCGCTGAACTAGCGTGTGCGAGCGATTCGGTATTTATGTATAGCGAATACACGAGGTATACGAGTGACGGGCCCACGGTTATTTGGAAAGTATGCGAAAGGAAGGGAAAACATGAGAGGCGTTAAAAAGAATTATATGGTTTTATCGTTGATAAGTATGTGGGAGGGGGGATCGTGCGCGTTATACAAGCCATCGATGCTTTTCGTTTTAATCGCGTGCGCATATTAATGAAGAAGGAATTGAATATGCGTTCGTGGCGTTTGCGCGTGGTAAATAACGTTGTATTTTTCGCGATTGGAACTGGAAATGCAAAATAACCCGGGTGAAAAATCTATGGACGCCGTTAGCGATTTGGACCAAATTGCAAATAAAGTCGAAAATAATTGTATCAGATTCGAATTTGAACAAGAAAGATTCGAATTATTCTATAAATTTAAAAACAAAGAAAGTATAGATTTATATATCTTCCAAATAGAATCAAACATTGGTAAAATAAGTTTCAAAATTTTAATATTTGCTTTATTGAAGTTTTCTTTTCACTTAAAATCAACTTTTGAAATTTATTCTTACATATATAATTATATAATTCGTACGTATAGAGTCTAATTGAGAAAGATAGAGCATATCAAATATCATAGATACATATCAAATATGTAGCAATTTCAATTTATTTCAGTTTATTTATATCATTATTTCATTTATTTGATTCAAAACTTTCTAATATAGTATCATGTATGTTTAATGTATAATATTGCATTTTCTACGAATATAAGATTTCCTTTAATTTACTTTCTTCTTATATTTCTTCACTTATGAAAATATATATACACATATCTGTTTTGAGTTCATTAATTGTACATGATTATATATTTCTCTTATAAAATAAATAAACTATATCGACAAAAGTTATTGAAATGAAAGTGGTATAAAAAATTTTCAAATATTTAATAAATACATTTAATAAATACAAATCGAAAAGAATCGAACATCAAGATCATTATGTTTACTAATATCAAATTTATCGAATGTATATCGGAATGGAAACATTACAGAACTAAATTCAAAATAATAACAGATTTTAATTTTGAATATATCGATTTCTTACAAAAATTCCAAACAGTTGAATAATTTAAGAATCCAATTCCGTTTGACATCCATAGAATTATACAGCTCATGAAACAATAATAATAACAATAAAAATTATGATTTTAAGGAAAAAATTTCCAATCTCAATAAGAAGCTTAAACTTTATGATTAAATAATAAAGAAAATATTGTTTGTTAATAATTAATAAAAAAAATAAGTAGAATAAAATAATTTAAATATGATATAATAATATAATATAATAAATACTAATAATATAATAAATGATATAATAATAATATAATATAATAATATAATAAATACTTTTCTGAATTTGGTATATTAAATAAATATTAGATAAATCCCTATTCTTCTTTGATATTAAACTGCAAGAATGATTTTAATAATCTCTAAACAAAAGATACTTGAGAAGGAATCGGTTGTTAACAGTAAAGTTATAACTAAACAGAAGTAGATAGTAGATAGAAAATATCACTTGCTTTATATAAAAAAAAAAAAAATATATATAACACGTAGAGACATAGATAATTGTAAAGTTTTACAATTTCGTTGAATTTCGACCGCGAAACACACAATAGCCCATAGGGAATTTGCTGGCATTAAAGAGATCCGCAGTTCGCGATACAACTCTCCGGTTGGCCGACACGCGAGATTTTACTTAGCGCGAGTGAGTCGGTTCATTAGCACGCAAATCGTCGAATAGAGACGAGTCTGGTTCCCTGCCACTACCCTTAACTGGCCCCTTATCGCGTTGCTCTAGGGGTAGGAAAAAAAATTCTACGCAAAAATTGCACACCGACCCCTTCGATTCGATCACCATTGAATCATTCGATGGAAACATTTTACTTTTTTTTTCTTTTTTTTATTATGAATTTAATCGAATTTAAACGATCCATTGCGAAATGCACACTGTCTTATTCGAATAAAATATTTGTCTTCTTTGTTTTCTTAGGATAATTGCGTCAGAGTTTGTTGTATGAGCATTTTAATTTTAAAGTTCCACACTTTAAATTAATATTGTAATATATCTTGGAAAAAACTATTCTATTAGATAGAATATTGTGCAGTTATTGATGAAAGTTGAAAAAATCGTTTGAGGATTTCGTTATATTTTTTTTTATCCTCCAAGATCAATTAATTAAAAATAATATAGAAAGATAAAAATAACATAACATATTAATAAGCAACAAGTTTTTTCAAATACACGCAAAGATAAAAAAAAATGTAAATAAAATTTTCAGATTTTATTAATATTGTTATTTACTTTTAATATCTGTTAATAAATTGCAATTCCATAAAAATAGAATACAAAGTAAATATAGTATTTTATTCATAGTGAATCGCATACATGCCAAGGAGAAAGGATGTAAATCTTAGAAAAACATTAATCCAAGTATGAAAAATCATAGCAAATATAAAATATTTAATATTTATGTATCATCAAGATGTATCCTCGATATATTCATATTTTATTCTCTCCTATCCACGTATTTAAATGAATAAATTCTACCAATGTCATAAATTTGATGAGGAAAGAAATAAAAACGATAGATTTACAAACCTGTTCGTATTTCTCCAACTCTTGATGATAAATCTGTCTAATTTGGGCAAGTTTGGCTCTGTAGTCCGAATGTTCGATGGCGTTGTCAGGTTGTCCAGGTGGTCCTCCAGCAGCGGCTGCAGCCGCTGCAGAGGCCGCCGCTCCAGCACCACCACCCTTTTCCGGTCCAGCAACACCCTCTGCGATCAACATGTTATCCAACCTCATTAATTGAGGATCCGGTGGTTCCTCTTCCTGAGTATTTCTTAAAGATAGCACTGGAACAACGAAAGATAGGAGAAATATTAAATATTAATTCGAATTGACATTGGAAATTTTAACGAATGGTTATATGTAAATAATAATATTTATATATTTATCAGTGTATTTATCAATTAGAATCTGTTTGATATGATTAAAGTTAAGAGAATATGACGATTGAGTAATAATACGGAATAAAAATGAATAAAATAAGTGAAATAAAATAAAAGAAATGACAAATTCAAAAAAAAATCTTCTGATCTAAGTGATATGGAAAAACTGCACAGATGTGCTTAAGGTTTTTTTGTATATATAAATTAGAAGAAAGCAATATAAAATAACTATTATTTCAAGAGTATTAAATTTCTCATTTTCACAAATTACCATAAATTATAAATACAATAAAACCTTCCTTAAAATAAAAAAATAAGAAAATTGATGCGAAGAAAAAATATTACTAATAAATATTACTATCGTTATTTTATAAATCGCCTGAATAAAATCTGCACGAAAAATATACATATAACTGCTTAACATTTGAATAATTAGTTTCCACAGTGGCGCAAAAAAAAAAAAAAAAAAAAAAAGTTCGAAAATCGCTGATCTGTGAGAAGAGAGAAGAGCGCAGCTCGATAAAAAATTCTCTATCATAAAAGAATCAATTTTACTTCGATGCCCGCTCTTCCGTATCTTCATCCAAGTCCATCGATCCTCTCGCTCCTTTTGTCTTAAGGACCGATGCACGCAGTGCTTTAGAAACGGGGTAGTTTTTCCACGGTGTGACACCGGTTTTATTGTACTTTTACGGCGCATGATGGAGCTGGACGACCCATAAAACCGCAGAGAGCGAGGGAACCACTTTCTCTTTCCTCCTCTTCCTTGCCCGCCTCGTGTCACACAGCTCTTCCAGAAAGATGCATCTTTCGACAGTTTTCACCGCCCCTCCTTGATCATACATAAACCAACACGTGCACGCACGAGTAAGCACGACGAGGGGGATGAACGACAGCCCGTGGAAACTCGTGCAAACTGCCGCGAGATATATACTTCCTCCCCACGGAACCGATTATTCTTTTCACGATTTTAAATAGCGACGAGTGTGTTGTTGTTGTTGTTGTTGTTGTTGTTGTTGTTGTTTGTCGAGCGGGAAAGTTGGCCGGAACAAAGAGCAAGGCTTAAAAGTAACCGTTTCAAAGGAAGCTGGCTAGACTGAAAAGGGAACGCGGTTGTCGGAGGGGGAGGGGGGAATGGTGAATGGATGCAATTGTCGATGGAATAAAAATGGTAGAAAAGGAAAGAATAAAATTCTTTTTTTGTTATTCTGACAATAAATAAAGTGTTGCTTTTAAAAATCTGAATTTGACAGAAGGAATTCTTTCTCGCAAATTCACTTGAAACTTATTATTTTTCATTAATTATTATACAATTGTGTAAATAATTTTGGATGAATCGATATATTTCACATTTATATTGGTGAAATTCAAAGTGTAACAGTTTAGATGTTACTATCGAAATTTTTAGAAGTGACAAAGATACACCTTGGAGGGAAGATACCCTATTAAAATTAAATTTAAAATTCCAAGTTCCCAAATTTGAAGATTTTCACATACATATTTGGTGCATATATTACAGATTTAAATTTTAACTTAAAAAAAAATTAAAAATGTTTAAATAGTATCCATGGATAAGAGGAAAGGTTAAGGAATCCAGTTTTGGATGAAACGCAAATGAAAACAATTTCTACACCTTTCATTATAAATTCTTTCGTCCAAAATTCAAAATTTACCCCGGCTAAAATACCACGATACATTTTCCAAATGTACAACGTAACCCCCAATCGTATATCCCTCGGCTGAGATTTGAGGATTGAATTAATCACATTTGCGGTTATTTGAGCCGTAATTTAAATTCGTTAGAACTTTTTTCCTCTGTCTCTCCAGGCACCACGTTTCCTCGCTCCAGCTTGGGGGGAGAAAAAAAAAAAAAAAAAAAAAGTCTCCAGAGACGAAAGAGAGGCGAAGAAGGGGGTGTGAAAGTTGCCCGGGATTCGTGGGACCGTGAAACGAATGCGCGGAACTAATGCATTTATACGAAGTGTAACAATTAGGGGTGCAGCCTCGGCAAAAGGGGTTGAAGTTTCAAATTCCTCCAGGGAGCCGAGTGAAAGGGTGAAGACACAAAGTCGATCACTGGGGAACCGTTTTCTTTGAGAAAGATGTTACGGGTCGCGCTAACTCCGTCTACCTTCCTATTCGTTAACGAATCTCTTCTCTTTCTCTCTTCCATCGTTTTGGAGGAAACGTTTTCAGAAACTTTTGTCGTATGCTCTTAAGCCTAGTTGGAGTTCTTAAGCCTAGAAGATTTAAGGTCTGTTGCAATGTGAGAGGGGGGGATTTATTTTATGTTCGATTAAAAATTTAATTTCTTTTGTTCGAATGGTTATTCATACGTGAGATGTTTAAATATATTTGTTAAAGTAAATTCAGTAGTAACAATTCAGAAGGTAAATAATGTTTTTAAAAAATTCACTCCTTAAATTGTCAATATGTGCATGTCTGATGATCGTTCACAAACTATCACAAAGTCAAATCTAATATTGTATCATCTTAATTTTTTCTAAATAAAAAAATATCAAAACGTAACGTTATAAATCTCAATTGATCTCAATCAAGTTTTATTTTGATCTTTACATCAATCTTTTTCAAGTTCAAGTGAAGTAAGAACATACAAGCTAATAAAGACATCTCAATCATATTAATAGATAATAATTGTATCTTATTCCAGATCAATGATTACTTAAAATGTAACACAACAATTAAATTCAATTACATCTTGATTCAAATTCAAATTATTAATCTTCCTCGCAAAATACTTTTGATTATTTTTTAACCCTTTCTAAATCGTGATAAAAGATTGATTTACAGCTTTCTTCTTCAACAATCCCTCGTTAAACTTGGCGAGATAGTGTTAGAAAAAAGTATTCCATTCGATGCTGAATAACGTAAGATCTTGCAAACGAGTAGTTTCCAGTTTTCAAGAACGACTTAAAGAAAGGTTAACAACAGTCGGGAGGATATCGTTAAAACTTCGTTGGTACATCGGCCAGGAACTTTTCACGCTGCTGTGGATAATTAAAAATGAAAAACCTTCGGCCACTATCGTTGGAAGCAACGAAATAAAACGTACGTTTATGGCGGTGTCGTAAGGAAGAAGTTGCTCCATTGAAAGTTAAAAGATCTCGAGCCATCGACGTTATCTTGCGTTTATTCGATGGAAGAAGAAGACTTTTGCCGGTATCTAGTAAGATATAGACAAATCTATGGAAGAAAAGAAGATGCATCGCGAGACTCAATTATCGCAGTCCAAAATTAGATTATTTTTTTGTCTAGTTAGTATAATGGTTAATCGTAATGCTAATAATGAAAAGTGGATAAATTTGAATTTATTATTATTTAAAGATTGCTGTCTCAAATAATTTTTTGAATTAAAATTCTCCTTTTTTTCTTTCTTTTCGATAAAAATTTAATGAAAATATCGCGAAGCTTCAATTAATTTTTCATTCACAATCAACTGTGCTAATATCTTTCATTTATGTAAGAATAATTTTTTAAGAAAATTGATAAAGAATAATAAAATTAAATAATTAAATTAAAGGACGTATAAAATAATAACATTACAAATTAAAATTTAATTATTGAAATAAAATAAAAAGAAAATATTTTAGAGATTTGGACAAATATTTCTCTACGTGATGATCATAGAAAAGAAATTTGAATATATTTTATGATACGATTAGTATTAGATTCGTGAATTCATTACTGATATCAAATGAAAAGATAGTTGACAACTACGTTAAAAAGGGTGTAAAAATCTTTGAGACATTCGAGTTGGGCACGATCCAAAAAATTAAGAAACAAGTTGAATATATTTGAATTTTAAAATAAGTTCTGAAATTGTCTTCTCTAAGTATCTTTATCTCTTTTACGATTGAAATTTCGCTTCTTTTCATTGGTACTTGATCGAGCACAATTATTTATCTCCTTTTTTTGGCCAAAAATTAATATACGACCGTTCTCTAATGAATAAATGCATCGTCATGCGGAAAAGGAAATATTTTCCTGGTTGTCGATTATATTTTCGTGACAAGAGGTAATAAGACGCTATTACTTCAACCATTACAATACTTATCTACTATTACGTTCCCTGTTTATGAATAATTCTAAATAAAAAAAAGGATAAATACACATGATAATCAGCATAATGCAATAACGTTTCCTTATTTATGAAAAATCGAATAAATATGTATGAATAACACAACAATCGACAGACGATGCCTTCTAATAAAGAAAAAGACGAAGCCTATCATGATGTATCATGATGTATCCATAATCCTTGGCCAACAAATTAGAACTCGTAATTTTCAACATTTTTCGTTAATAAAATTCACAGACCTGAACGAAATTTAATTGCAAATTTAATTTTCTTCAATTATCATCTGCGATGAGTTTTACTTAAATCTAACTCGCGTTAATTTAGATTTAAAAAGAAAAGATTCTGAATATTTCTAGCAAAAAAAAAAAAAAATCCATGCAAACACGAGTTTATACTACAGCACATACACTTCACCACTTAATAAAAAAAACAACAGTTAATTACACACAATGTAACAATCGACAAGAAATTATCACTACAATCAAATATATTAAATTCAAAACGAGAAACACTGGAGACACTGTTAAAAAAAAAAAAATCGTAATATTAAAAATTCTTTCCCATACGACAACGTACAACAATAATATTCAACGGAAGGAAATCGCGAGCACGAAAAATTAAGCGTTCGGCCGAAAAATTATTTTCGGGTATCGAGCGGGAAGAAAGTAATCGGGGGTGGCTTAAGGGCAATAATCTGGCTATTAAGGGGTGTAAGGGGTGGAGGGCCCTTGGTACCGGAGTCGGCACGACGACGCAAAGACTGCTAACCTCCTGCGGGGGTCCTTACAAGCGCGTAAACTCAGTT